GCATTAATTTGGAAATTCTTTAATGAAAATTTGAGAAATTCATTTTTGTATGACCTAATGTTTATATTCGTTATAAGCAGAAGTCCTCGGAGAATTTCAATCATCAATTTTTTTTTTTATTTTTTTTTTTTTTTTTTTGTGAAACTGTAATCCCAGTTACCTAAAATCTGCTCTGAATCGGAAAATAAAACGGCACTAAAACTAAGACATTATTTAATTAGAAAAGGTTTTAATTGCTTTTATAAATAAGATATATTATGGACATTATTGTCTTAAGAAAACATTTTTTCGATGAATAATGAATTTTTACAAAAATTGTTTTCATTTTTTATTTTAATTAGAATAATTTATAATGTTGTAAATCTTTTTTTAATTCTGTATTTGTACGGGTTAGGTGTATTGTTATTAAGTAAAAACTATATTTGTTATTCATAAATAGAAAAGTTTACTACAATTCAGCGACCACCAGTATTTTAAAAAGAAGCTTCAATTTTGTGTCTGTCTATAAGTGTGTGTAAGTTGCGTGTGTGTATATAAAAGTGTCGATTTTTGTGATTACGTCCGTCGATACACGAAATTATCATAAAATAAGTGCGATAACTATATTAAATTTAAAGCCAAAATACCTAAACTTCAAGAAAACATTAGATTACACAGAATATTTTCCTAAATTTTTAAGATTATTGGCGCTTGCGTTTATATTTGTCAAGTAATTTTACAGATATGTCCACCGTAGAAAAAATTATTAAAAATTTAAATTATTTAAATTTCCAGCTTTCAGTCTGTCAATAGATTTGTTAACAACTAATAAAACAGTTATCTTTGTGTTAAAAAAGCATTTCTGCAATATTTTAAACTAAAAGTAAATAATATTTGTTTCAAATCAGATTAATTAAACTTCAAAGTTTAATTAAAGTTAGCTAATATTCCTGAAATAAAGATTCAGAAAAGTATATTTTATTCTTGAAAGATTTTTAATGAAGAGAATTGCATTGTACTGAGAAATAGCTAAAATGGCTAATATCAACGATTTTTAACGATTGCTAAATAAAAAATACTACTTCCAGATAATTTAAATTAGTTTTCAAATACAGCAGTATTTTTCTTATTGGAAATATTAAATGTAATCTATTGGTTTGAAATTAAAATTAAAATAAAAGGTTCAAGAAAGGTTTGTTTTTTTTTTTTTAAATTAATTTTAAACATTGGCTATCTCGTTTCTGTGGAAGTACCTAGAACTTGCATCCCCAAATGTATATAAAACAAAAATAAATAATAAACACATACAAACGTCATACCTTACTACACAACACTTTTAGCAAAACATCACTACACTTGCCAGTTCTACGAAATTTACCATTTATCTCTACAAACCCTGATGAAAATTTAAGAAAGTCGAAAGCTTGGATACTATTTCTTCTGAAATGAACTTTGGACAATTTCTCATGAAATTTCATCCTTATCTGAGAAGGATTATTAGTAATAAAATGAATCGACACAAAATGTCTGTTGCCTTTAATAACATTTGCCTTAAAGTATATATATATATATATATATATATATATATATATATACACACTCAACCACCACACCTTCTCAGTCATTTCCAATGAAACTTTTTTACACACACACATATATATATATATATATATATATATATATATATATATATATATATAAGAGATGAAGTATTATAATTACTTGCATTATTTACATTACTCGGGCTCTTATCTCCATCTTCATTGCCATATTCACAACATTTCGACCATTGTACGCTCCGGCCTCCTTCAGGTAATTGGAATTTCGAATCGAATCCTTTATTTTGTCCACCGGGATAGTTTGTTCTAGTTCCACGTGCCATGCCTCTTCCGGATGTCTCAATTTTATATATATATATATAATGTTGTTGGAAATTTAATTTCTTAAAATTATGCATTTTTGCGTATGTGTCCAGACTTTAGGGACAGCCTATATATCAGGTTTAGTCATAAGCAATTTCTCTTTTGGAAGACCAGTTGTAATGACGAATGTGTCATCCTAACTATTAATCGTAGGTGGCAATTAAACTTCTTTTTTTCTTTTTTTTCTTTTTCTTTTTTTGTCCACGGCAATGGCAGCGTACACAACGGATTAAAAGAAAGATATTATTCTCCCTTATCAACACAAAGCCGCTTACAACAACAACAAAAACATGGGAGAAAATTTTTGAACGTGATTGATCTCTTCCACATCCATCTGCCATAGTCACCTGAACTTGCATCAACCGACGTTTGAAACATTCTTCAATAAAATGAGGGATTTCGCTTCACACGTGACTGAAATATAGAGAGATTAAATTGAACCGATTAAAGTGAGCAATCGATGAAAAACGTTTCGATTTAACCAAACGCGGGTGGTTTTCTTCTATAACGAAAACGCTAAAGCCCACCTCTCTTTGCAGAACCCACACAAATTGGAGGTACAATCTGTGGCTAGGACGCATCCTTCTATACCGGCCGTATCGACTTGACTTTTCACCTTCGGGTCACCAATTATTCTTTATCCTTACAAATTTCTCTTAAAGAAAAGAACCTACCCAAACCAGTTCATCACAAAAATGCTGCCCTGTTCTGGGAATCATGAAGATGCCTCAAAGATGGCGAAAGGGAGTGAAAGAAAATGGTGCGTATGTGGTTGAGTAAATCTACGTACAGATGTATAAATATTGTTTACACTATTTACAATGTTCAGGCTGTTGTCCGCTTCTTTACTGTCTGATTTACGACGTTTCGGCCGTTGTACGCTCCAGCCTCCTTCAGGTGGTATACGTTGAAATTTCGAATCGAACCCTTTATTTAGTCCACTTGAGTATACTGTTCTAGTTCGCTGTTGTCCTCAACTTTACTAACACATTCACGACGTTTCGACTGTTGTACTCTCCGGCCATCTTCAGGTGATATATGTTGGACTTTCGAACCGCTTCAAATTTTACTCTAAAGACGCCTCGAACTTTTGCACCGACCCAATATATTCTGATTGTTTCAAATATCTGTCGATATTTCTGAGATGAAGTATTGTAACTATTTACAATATTCGGGCTGGTGTCTTCATCGTTATTGTCATATTCACGACGTTTCGGTCGTTGTACGCTCCGGCTTCTTCTTCTAAATGAAACTGAAACTGAGATATCCGGAAGAGGCATGGCACGTGGAACTAGAACAATCCATCACAGAGGACGAAATAAATGGTTCGGTTCGAAATTCCAGCCCCCTGTATAAAGCCAGGGCGTACAACGGCCGAAACGTTGTGAATATGACAACAAAGATGAGGACAACAGTCCGAACATTGTAAACAGTGTAGATTATTTCGAAGTTTTAATTTTTTTCTTCTAGAAATATCAATAAACTTTTATTTTATAAATAGATTTTTGATTGTATTCAATATCAGAAACATCGAAAGAATGTTGAAAATGTCACGTCTCGCAGTCTTTGCGTCAACGTCTGCCGCTCTTACGTGATCGGCTATCTCAAGCGGTGTAACCTTTGGCTCGTCCTCTTCAAAGATAAGTTCCATGTATCAAATCTGTTAACCATATTTGTTGGTATCTGGAACGCTTCTAGGGCACACGCAGGCAATACACTTTACTGGTTCTCAATGTTTCACCGAGATGAACCCACAAAAAGTAAACAAACAAAAATCGTTTCAAAAGAGCATTTAGTTCGCAATAACACCTGATGATTCCTTTCAATTTAAAGGAGGAAGGGTTTTCTTTTAAATACTCAATCTAATTATGTAGTATCACACACTCTTTCTGAACTCTTAAAGATTATCAGGGTTTCGGTCCGGCCGCAACGCAATAAGAAGACTGAATAAGTTTGTGGTTTCGTTGGTTAGATTATGGTGTCTATCAACTCAAAAAAGAATAAAAGAAAAATTCGGATTTATTCTATTAAATTTTAAAATCTCGATTAAACTTTTTAAATTTTTAGACGAGAATTGTTTTTTGACATACCATAAAACCTTCCACATAATTTAACAAATCATTTTTTTTTTTCAAAGAAATTAAAATTTTTCTTTATTTTGCTGTTTTAAATTTTCAGAATTAAATTTTCAGAATTAATTTTTCAGGATTAAATTTTCAAAATTATTGCAGAAAAGAAAAATATATTCAGATGCAATGATGATTTTCCGTTTGTTTTGTTGATTTTTCTCTTTATTTTTATTGTTTGTGTACGTGTGTGTGTGTGTGCCCTTGTTTTGATAATTTAAGTGAGCAGACTGTAGCGAGACAAATTATATTCATTAAAATACAAAATATACCAGAAGTGAAAACGTGGTACAAAAAGGAAGGGGTCTGGAAAAGGCCAATAATAATGATAATATAATGGGAAGAGGCTACAGCATGGCGATTATAACAAAAAAAATAAGAACAGTAGAGTAGGCCAGACAAATCAAATAAGGGCCTAAGAAGATTATAAGGAGGGTGAAAAGTTTTCCATAGGCCATCCCAGTTATGATCTTGCAGACCGACAATGAAACATGGCCTTACAGAATGAGACAAATGAAGACATGTTTACAGATTATTAACATGGCCAAGAGGATTCCGAAGCATCTAACAAAGGTGTTAGAATGAAAGAATATCGTGAGTAGAAAATAGAACGAACAAGGTGAATATAAAACCACAACATATCAGAACAAAGAGGGATAAAAAACCGCAATATATCAAAACAAGGGGGATAAAAACCGCAACATATCAGAACAAAGGGAATAAAAACTGCAATATATCAGAACATGTGGATATAAAACAGCAACATATCAAAATAAAGGGGATATAAAACCGCAATATATCGGAACAAAAGATATGAAATGTCTACCTGAAGTCCGAACTAGAGAAGTAAACAACGTCACATTAGTACTAAGGGATCTATGAAGAGCTTCTTCTTCTTCTTCGTCTGCATATCGTGTCTTTTCGGGACGTGAGCGTTCATAGCTCTCCGCAACTTTCTATCCTTCGCAACTTTTAGCAATGTTGAAACACCGGTTGCCGTACAATCACCGAAATGAAGCAACGTCGAGTCTGGTCAGTACCTAGATGGGTTACCGCTTGGGAATACAAGCTGTTGTAAGCTTGGATGTGCGGGTGGTGTCATGGATAACTGCTCGGAGCTGGAAATCGGATTGCCGAGTTCCAATTCCAGTCCTTGGTAACATTATAAATTCACTTCTTCGCCACCTCTTCCCCAGTTATGGGTTATTTAGTGGGACTTGTATCAGAAAATTATTACTATTTAAAAAAATTCTTACAATCTAAAAATATTTTCTGGCTTTAAATAACAGCCAAAAGGTTGATAAACAGTAAAAAAAAACAAATCAATCACTCTTGGCAATGTGTGTGTGCTTTTTTTTTTTTTTTTTTACTATTCATCCCATTCCTTGTTTTGTCATCCATTTACATAAGCTCCTTATATGGTTTACTCTTGCCTTCAATATGGTGTTGTGAGTGTTAAATTTTTCTGGCCTTCTTTTCTCATTATAGCTCCAAGAAATTCTATTTCTGATTTTATGTATAATTGTCCAATTTCCTTCCATTAATATTCTTAGATTTCTTCTGTAGAACTACATCTCTGTTGTCTCAAAGCCTTCGCTTCAGCTGCGAGGAAATTTTCAAGCATTCAGTGTCATATCAGTCAGTTATGTGGCATGCGTGATACCCGCAGTAGGTTGCCATTTCTTTCTGCGGTAGACAAATTGCCATCCAAGTCTAGAGAACCCTGCCATTTATACATAAGCTGGGTGGGGAGAAGAGGATTCATACCTTTCCCCAAGGGTATTAGCGTAAGTGAATGTAATGGATTCGATTGGAATTCAAACTCAGCTCTCCAATATCTTTAATCCGAGCCGATATCCATTACTCCACCGTGTCTCCTTTGTGTCATATACTAGGATTAATATTTCTAACGAAGTTTTCCTGTTTCTTAATACTTTTTTTGCCTGTGAGTACCATTGATATAATATTTTAACACATTACAACGAAGGGCTTAGTCATCTTTATCTGAAAGAGTTTTTATTAAACAAGTGATATCCGTAGGCAAGAGCAAATTTTAATCTTTCCTGTCTTGATGTTCAGACTATTTCAATTTTCTAAGCCAAGCCCCTAATAAGTGCCACCGTTTTTAGTTGTTTTTTGTTTTTTTTTTTTTTGTTTTTTTTCGGTTAATTCTTTCGGAGTAAGCGCCGACTGCATACCAGACAAGGTTATACCTATACTAATTCGTACCGCCTTGATGCCAGCAAATTTGATATTTAAGACTTGACCTCAACTTGAACTCAAGAAGTTGTCACTGAATCTTAAGACGAACTGTAGACAAACGTTTCCATTTATTTGCAAACTTCGCCTTTTTTAATACTACAGGATGAGATGGATAAATTGTCGTCTAAATGCCGCAGCGCGCGCGCGTACACACACACACACACACACACAAAAAGAAAATAACACCATTTCATTTTAAAAGCTATATTTACCAAAATTACACACATCTTGAAATACTAAATAAAATCGACATTGGCTTCAACCAGACGACTTCGGAATCTCCTGTAACTTTTCTAGTCTGTTTGTTTAAATTGGTAAATGCTGCCATAATCTTTGCCTTCAGTTCATCTTTGGTATTACACGGAATTTTGTTGGTCTCCCGCTTAACTGCGCCCCCCAGATAATAATCAAGGAAGGTGGGGTACAATCTAGGGAGTTAGGTGACCAGATGTAAGGGGTGATGTGTGGTTGCAGAAACTGTCTGGCAGTCATTACTTGGTTCTCCTGCTTGTGTGGCATGGTGCAGAATCCTGTTGTCAGGTCTTCCAGCAGCCACACTCTTGACCTAGTTGTTGAGTCTGCAGCCCTGTGGGAATATGAATGGATCACTCCAAACACCACGATGTTGATTGGATATAACTTCCAACTCTTTCCGAATCCTCTGCACTGTCATCAGATTGACACCCAAACACTGAATTGTTCGTATTGGAGCTTCCGGATGCCAAGCAGTACAGCATGCCATTTCCAAATTTCTGGCGGTGTGAATTGCGTCATGGTGCTCTTTTTTCTCCCGGACGGTGCCCAACTGACCTTACTATACTGTGCAGTCGGCAAAATAAAAAACACACAATGCGCATGCGCGAAAATAAAAATATAAAATGGCGACAATTTACCCATCACACCCTGTACTTATTTGCCAAGTTATTCTGCTAAGAAAGTTGGTTCACTGTGATGTGCCACACAATTTTTCTCTCCTGAATCTATCTTGCATATTTATAAGTCTACCATTCATCCATGCTTAGAACATTGCTGCCACATATGCTGTTGCCTCTGCTATTTACCTGGAGCTCCTTGATAAAATTCAAAGAAGAATTAGCAATATTATTGGACCTGATCTGGCATCTCGGCTTCACTCTATTTCTCACCGCCGTAAAGTTGCCTTCCTGTGCCTTTTCTATAAATACTTTTATGGTAACTGTTCCGATAAGCTCTTCGTTTTTGTAACCAGACTTTATGAATTTAAGCGCAGTACTAGACTAGCATCGACATCTCATCGATTTACAGTCGGCTATATGCAACCGTAATTTTTATCCTAACAGTTTCTTTTCTCGCACTTCTTGCTTGTGGAGCTCCCTTCTGGCTCCATGAATTCCAGCCAACTTTAATCTTCAAAAATTTAAATGCAATATCAATCGCTTTCTGCTGTCCTTCTGATTACTCTTCTTTTGTCCTTGCTCCTTAGTAAAATTTCCATTTTTTTTTCCACACCCAGTAACCCCTTGTGTCTTAGTGGCTTTACTGCCTTGATGTGGTGAGCATGTTTAAAAAAATCTCTTTCTGTCTCATTGAACCTAATTGAGTGGCGAATATTAATCATATTTTTTTAACATTGCTTTTTTATTTGATGCCTTACGCTAACAAAATCAATCAATAATTGATACAAGTGATCCTATAATGTTTACTTTCATTACACTGATTTAAATCTGCCCTCTGAAATTATCCACCCTCGACTTTCCAAATCTGATTTTGAACCCCCACTATCAACCCCTGATTTAGCCTCTATTCAAGGTACCCTACCAAAAAAAAAAGCAGTACCTAAGGTTTAAAATGCATTTTTAAAAATATTTCTTGAAGTTTGTATTTTAGATTTAATTTCAAGCTAATAGATTAAATTTAATATTTCCAATAAGCGAAATACTTTGCTGTATTTCAAACTGAATTTAAATTGATTGGAATAATTTTTTTATCCGTAAAAATGCTAAAATCGCCCATAATGACAAACCTGTCAACACAACGTTTATTTAAAAAAAAAAAAAAAAGCTTTAAAAAGTAAAATATACTTTTCTAAAATTTAGATTAGCCGATTTAAAGTTAAATTAATCTGATTTGAAACAAATATTATTTACTTTTATTTTAAAATATTGTAGAAAAACATTTTTTAACATGGAGGTGGGTATTTTTATGAGGTATTGACAACTCTCTTGAAAAAATTGTTTGGGAATTTTTTTCTAAGGGGGACAATTTTATTTAAGGATAACAGTTACTTGACGAATATAGCGTGAACGCCTTTTGTATATAATTTTTTGAACTCCACAGTAATGTTAAAAATTTAATAAAATATTCTAGGCATTCTAGTATCTTATTGAATTTTAGATAATTTGGCTTTGTAGTCTAAATTATGAAGACGCTTGTTGAGGAAGTGATAGAAAATTAACAAGAAATTTTAAATTTACCATAGTTATTGTTTCTGTTTTCTAATTGTGTCCTGTATAGACATCCATATTTGCAAAAAATCAGTACAAAGATTTTCTAAAAAAAGAAAAAAAAAAGGAAAATTTTAAAAGTAATTTCATTTGTGAATAAGGCCTGGAAGTTTCTTTAAAATCCGACAATTATTTGATTTTTGCAAGAATTTCTAAATCAGTGTTTGGCACAGTAAAAAGCTTTTAAAATTTCCCTTACCAATTTATGTTCATCCGCTGATGTAAGCAAATCAAAATTTTTAACCAAAATTTAGAACGTTCTGAAAAGGATAAAAAAAATATAATTTAATAATCAAAAAATCCTTTGATTTTTCATTTTAATAGTAACAAAGATTTTGACGATAAAACTTTGTTTTTATTAAATTTGTGCCATTTTATTTTTTTTATCTTGGTATGTTCATGAAGGTACCTACTTTATTCACTTTTAAAACATCTGCTCCAAACCTTAACTTTTTATTTTGCTCTGACTGAAAATGGAAACCAAGGTGGAATATATATATATATATATATTTGTTTCTTTTGCTTTATAAACACGTTTTAACTGCTGGAAGATTATTTTTCTTCTTTCCGACTCAGCTGAAAACTAATTTTGAAGTTGTAATAAAAGAGAATCCCGAAATAAACGACGAGGCGAGACATTTTATTGCCTGCTTAAAATTTTCTCTGCCAATAAATAAAGAGTCGTCTAAAATGAATGAAGATGCCTCACGTGTAAAAAAAAAAAAAAAAAAAATGGCTTAACAACTTTTACAAATTACTTCAACTGAGTCACCAGATTCTGATGCACAAAAAAATGTCAAAATCAAAAAGTCGGTTTAACTGGAATCTGTAGCGTAAAAATCAGCGAAAGAATCGTAAGGATCATGATGATTGCGAAAAGTGGGGAAAAACGTTTGAATCTGCTCTGGGCTCATCTAATTAATCTCTTCAAAATATTTCTTCGCGAAGATCAATTTGGCATCAATAAGGCGGCCATAAACGCTCAGCAAGAATTAACTTCCATTTCTATCGGCTTTGCGATACGAACTCAATAATCGCTTTACTTTCGAAAAACTTCCAAGTTGTTTAAAATTCACGACAATTTCTTTTTCTGTTAATAACTCTCCAGGCAAAAAGGCAATAGAAGACGTTGCCATTGACTAAACAAAACGGTGAAATTTTTCTCGCACAAAATTTTCCCTTGGCATTAATAACGAAGAGCAGTACTACGGCAGAAAACTCACGACTTGTCTAAACCTGATTGTGGAAACCGGGTAGTGCTTTGGAACTGTCGCTATCTTATCAACATTTGTTTTGTTTTTGTTTTTGTTTTTGTTTTTTTTCTACCTATATTTATATAAGTTACAAATTAAACTAAGCACAACTGACTATTATTAAAGGGTGAAAAATGTTCGCGGATTTTCATATCATTTTGGGAGTTTTTTTTTTCGTTCAAATCTGTGAATTTGTTTTTGCATGCTAAATCTAAAAAAAAAAAGACACAATGTAAAATTTACTCTCCTTTTTTTTTAATCCATAATCCATAATGTTGAATGGGTTAGAATTATTCAGCTTTTTAACAAGAAACACTTTCGAGTTGTGGTTAAAAATTGGCGCAAAACTGTTGCTTTATTTAAGATGGAATGATCTATTACGACATGTCTCTAATTTGTATTTAGATACATTGTACAGTGTAACCCGGATGTAAGAGAAACCCGGATATAAGAGAGATTGTCTCTGGTCCCAAATTAGAGCCTGTGTTAATGTATATAAAATAGACCAAACCCGGATATAAGAGAAACCCGGATATAAGAGACTTCTTCTCCGGCCCCGACAACTCTCTTATATCCGGGTTACACTGTATTTATTTTCAAATTTTCTAGTTGAATTGTTCACTTATATTGCATATGATCGATTATTGTACATAATTAGGTTATAATAAAATTTGTATTTTATATGAATACTTTATGAAAATTAGGATGTAGTAGAATTGGAGGGGGGGGCTGTATCATAGATTCGGGGTAGGGGGGTCTAATGAAACCCTTGCGCCGGCCCTGACCATGAGTGCTTTACTTTTTTAAAGTACTACCATTCATCATCATCAACACCACTACAATCATCTTAAAGCCAATATAAATAATAGTCCTGTCCCCATTAATCAAGAAATTCTTTCTACCCTCTCCCCGACAAAAATGTCTTTTCTTAATACCCACTTGAACACAAGTCTAGCACAAGGGCTGGTTTAAAGTTAGTGTCCGCAGAACAACCAGAGGTCCCAAAATGCTGCAGTTCCTCACCCAAAATTTCTTAGGTACCAGGGATGAAAGCTAGCCCTTATCTATTGGATGACCCACCCTCCGGACTGAAATTCTAAAACGTTTTGAACGTTTCAAAAGTTTTTCCGAAACAAATAATTTTAAAGTACGGATGCCTAAAAGAAACAAAAATAATAATTTTTATCACCTACGAGAAACTGATTTCCTAGTTTTTATTTGGTTTTAATCTTGAAAAATCAAAATATTTCAACTTTTTTTTACGAGCAATGAGTCTTATACATTTTTTTCCTTTTTGATCTTCCATACTTTAAAGTTACGGCCGTTAATATTTAGTGGGTGCTAAGGAAAAAGATACAAAGCATGAAATCAATTCACCCTGTGTTCTCTTCAGTAAACAAATATATACACAAAATGTCTCATCGCTGACATATCACGATAGATAGGTAAGAAAAAAATAGTTGTGTGAGTACCTGAACAAAACAATTTCTCATTACTGCTATAAAAAAAAAACTAGTTTGTTTTTAATGTTATATCACTTCTGGGCATAGGTATTGATGGCTTTCCACAGTTGCCTTTCCCTTAAGATATCTGAATTACTATAACTTCTTGTAAATGATACAGAAGTGGTTACTCTTCTTCCTGGTTTTAAATTCAGAGTTATGCTTTTCCTAGACTGGTTGCTACGCTTTTATTTAACCCATAGCTGTAGGGGAATAAAAGACAGACTCATGACTTTCCCAGATACAGAAGGTAATGGAAGAAAGCGAGAAGAAAGGAATAAACATAAACTGCAGGAAGTAATGCATATCCGTCAGCAAATGGAGGATCTCAAAATGCAAATTACAAATCGGGGATATCAAAATCAAACAAGTACAATAATTTAAATATCTGGGAAGTGTTTTAACAGAGGAAGGAAAGTGCGACTCTGAAATCCGAAGGCGTATTTGGGATAGTGAAAGATGCCTTCCAAAAGCTAAGCAGAGTATTAAGAGACAGAAAATTTCGATAGAAACAATGAAAAGAGTACTGAACCGTTATGCAATATAGTTCTTCCTATATGACAGTGAATGCTAGACAGCAACTTAAAGAAACGGAAATGTGGCTGAATGATTGATTCGTTTGTTTAAAGGCACATCAACTCCTTATGGGTCATTGAATGCTGGAATTTAATTTTCATCGAAGTTTTATATACGTTATTCTACTTTCACAATTAAATACATGGTAGATGATAGTCAGCATTTGTGCATATATATATATATATATATATATATATATATATATATATGTATATGTGTGTGTGTGTGTGTGTGTGCCGACATAATTACTAAAGGCAGTGGTATGTGTATTTTATATTGTAATTTTGTTGAAGTTATACTTTGGAATACAATTTGATTTCTTTAAGAAATTGTAGGATATTATATGGATTAATGGATTAGGATATTATATGGATTAATGTTACGAAAGAGTTCTTTTATGTTGGTTGTTTGGTTGGTTGATTGTTTGCGGAATATCAACACCTCTATGGGTTATTTAATGCCGAAATCTAAATATTTTGTATGTAATTTTATGCTTTCAACTAGAGAAAGTAGTGAAGCAAAGCGAGAAGAAAGGACTAAGGGTCAATTACATGAAGATGGAAGGATTGTTTGTTAGCAAGACGATGAGCCAAACATACAAATTGGAGATACCAAAATCAAACAAGTACAATGATTTAAATATCTAAGAAGTCTTTTAACAGAGGAAGGAAAATGCGACACTGAAATCCGAAGGAGCATTGGGATAGCGAAAGATGCCTTCCAAAAGCTAAGCAAAGTATTAAGAAACAGAAAAGCTCCCTTAGAAACAAAGAAAAGAGTATTGAACTGTTACTTCCTCCTTTATGGCAGTGAATGGTGGACAATCTCCTCGAAGATGAGACGAAGTAACAGAAATGTGGTTCTACAGAAGGATACTGAGGATGCCATAGACCAAACATGTGAGCAACGACGAGGTTTCAGATAAAATTAAAACAAAAAGGAAACATACTTAACATCAGGAAGATACAGTTGAAATTTCTGAAGCACGCAGTGAGGAAGGAAGGCTTGGAAAATCTGATACGCACGAGACAGATTGAGGGAAAAAGAAAAACAGTGTATAACATTCTTTTTGCGCTTAAGAATAGAGGGACAGAGTTTAGGAGAAATAACAAAAAGATAGAATGTATTAAGAGCTACAAAGGACGGGAAGTTGTGGAGAGCTACGTCCCGAGTGAATACGGCATATAAAGAAGAAGGAGATTCCATTTTCAATCCGCAATAGCAAAACCTGTTTCTAGTCCTGGGTATGACGATAAATTACAGCCAGCAGCAAGGCCTCTGATCGAGAGGTTTCGAGGAGCGTGAGACCACCTCTTAATTGCCTGTTTCCAGGTTCACCCTGACCTGGGGTGGTAACACCTGTTAGGGTCCTAGCTATGGGCAAATAGTGCCCCCTCCCATTGAAACAAATGCAAAACAATATGAAAATATAGAAGTACATTTTTGTATAAAAAAAAAAAAAAACAGCAATAAACTTTTCTATAAAAAAAATTACCAACAATAACTATTTATCTGTAATTGAAGTAATGCAACTGGGTTCAAAATATTTAGATTTCTGCAGTAAATAACTCATAGAAAAAACTAGACCAATATCAAAGAGAAAATTTCTAGTTCCAACGAATGATTTATTTTATGGAAATTTTCTCCGCTCCAAAGAAAAATATGACAAAAACAAATGGCAATTTGTAGATTAAAAACAAAATTTCTTTCTTTTTTTTTTTTTTTTTTTTTCCGTGATTCGAATTCGTAAGAGTTTCTAGTTTCTTTGCAGTTTTACTCAAATTAAAGGAGTGACTAAGACTGGCAAATGCTAGTCAAAATATTTCCATAAAATAAATCATTCGTTTGAACTACAAGTTTTTTTTCTTTTAATTATACAACTACCAACGAAGACAAGCATCCTAACTTCAGTATGAAAGAACTCTTTCATGACATTAACCTATATAATATCCTAGAATTTCTTAAAGAAATCAAATTATATTCCAAAATTTCCTTCAACAAAAACTACACACATCACCACTTCTAGTAATTATGTCCATACAAACATGTATATGCACAAAAGCTGAGTATCATCTACCATGGATGAAATTGTGAAAGCAGAATAACTTTATTTTTATTACTTCAAAGCTCCCCTCCCCCTATGACCCATAATGAGTTAATATGCCATTAAACAAACTGTTTGAACCACTGTTAACCTTGACAGGGTTTAGTCAGTCGTCAAATTACATCTAAGCACATTTTCAGCTTAATTTCACACGTTACATTTTCAACTTAATTTCAAGCGTTACATTTTTCTTACAAGGCGACTAAATGATTTTCTTTTTGCAGAGTGTATTTCACCCAGGCCAGGTCATTTGTACTCGTTCATATGTTTTTGAATAAAATCTTTTAATTCGAGCGGCAAAGAAAGAAGGAAATCCTGGCTTCCACGGACGTAAATCGACAAGAGGCTGTAACGTAAATTGCCGAGGTCAATCGACGTGTCGTTTCGTTTATCGCTGACTTCTTTTATTACGTCACTGTCTGGAATGAAGGTCTTGCTTCTTTCGTAGAATTCTGATGCTGTGTGAAAAAACTTTCTTATCCAGTGCCGTTTGTGTCTGTTGATGCTTTGTGCGTGAGTGAACGCTGCAAAGAAACAAGGTCTTGTTTGTGAGTCATGGGAGTCGATTGAAGAAACGTGTTTGGTGGAGATATTCACTGAGAGAACGGACAAAAATTCACATAGATAAATAGATAGATATGGATAGACTTAGATAGATAGATAGATAGAGATAGATAGATAGATAGAATAGTACGATCAGACTTAGATGGATAGGAACAGACTTAGATAGATAGATAGATAGATTAGTACGATCAGACTTAGATGGATACGAACAGACTTTGATAGATAGATAGATAGATAGATAGATAGATTAGTACGATCAGACTTAGATAGATAGATAGATAGATAGATAGATAGATACGAACAGACATAGATAGATAGATAGATAGATAGATAGATAGATAGATAGATATTGTTAGTTACAAAATTCTTTCAGTTTATTACGTAAAAAAGATTTTTTTTATTTTATTTCAATAGTGTATTAACATATTTATATTTTTTTAACCATTTTGTTCCCTTATTTTCTTCCATTTTGGAGGCAACTTCCTGATTCCATCCTCCCACAATAATTCTGGGGAAAGTACGACGGATGATGCTTTTCCTCTTTAACTTTTTTTTTTAAGAATTTATCTTATAAAGTTCATACTTTTCATTACTCATGAAAATCCCTTTCAAAAACTCCACACAGAAAATACATTTAATTGTGTTATTTTGTTTTCAACATCAACTGGCACAAAAGATTTTTCGTTACTTGATTTCGATTCTTTCGGTTTTTACGAATAGCACTGATTATTATCGAACGTTTTCATATATTCGTAATATCAAAACACACCATATCAACTCGACCCTGGAGCATCCAGCGTTTATTCTCCACCAAAAAAACTTCTCTAAGCATTTTTGATACGTTCAACTGTGCCTTTACAATAAACTATGCTGAAAACATCCTTTTTTTTTTCTTTTTCCTTATTTTAGATTCAATAAAAAAAAAATCCAACCTTTTCTTATATTTAATGAAAAATCTCCGCTGATATGGCAGTTGCCACAAAATAATATCAGGTCATCCCATAAGTTCTGTCCGAATTTTGAATAAAGAAAACAAGTGACCAAATGTTACATTTAATTACAGATTCAATCAACAATGTATTTTCCCTGATTATCTATAACTTCCTTCCATCTATTAACAAGTTTACTAATTCCATTACTGTAAAATTCTTTTGGCTTTGATTCGAAGAATTCACAAATGTCAGTTTTAACCTCTTCCTGTGTTACAAAAGCTGTTTCTTCCAAAGGATTCTGAAAGCTACGAAATAAATGGTAGTCTGAAGGAGCAAGATCGGGAGAATAAGGTGGATGAGGAATTTTCTCCCAACCAAGTTCTTTGATCTTTTGTCACGTGATTCTTGGCGTGTTGGGTCGCGCATTGTCCTGATGAAACATCACCTCTTTTCGATTCACTAGAGCAGGTCTTTTTTTCCACAAAGCTTGGTTCAAACGCTCTAATTGCTGATAGTATATTTGAGCATTAATTGTTGCATTAGGTGGTAAGAATTCAAAGTGAATTATTCCTTGGCGATCCCACCAAATAGAAAGAAGAACCTTTTGCCCATGAAGTTCCCTTCTCGGCTGTGGCTGGGGTCCTTCCCCTTTACCAAGCCACTGTCTACGACGCTTAACATTTCGATAAAAGATCCATTTTTCGTCGCCAGTCACAACTCTATCGAAAAAAGGTGAAACAAGTTGGCGAGAATGGAGAGAAGAGCAGATGTCAACTCGGGATTTGAGGTTGTTTTCAGACAATTCATTAGGCACCCATTTTCCAAGTTTAGGAACTTTTCCAAGTTATTGAAGATGACGATGAACAGTTGTATGGTTTGAACTGAGAACCACTGCCAATTCCTCAACTGATAAAGCAGGATTTTCTTCAAGGGCTGCTTCGAGAAGCTTTTCATCAAACTCAACTGGATGTCCGGTTCGATCTTCATCTTCAAGGGTGAAATCTCCACCTCTGAATTTTGCAAACCATCTTCTGCAAGTTCTTTCATTTACACATTCCTCTCCATAGCTTCAGCTGCTGAGTTTCCTTTCTTGAACTCATAAAGCATTATGTGGCTCAAATGATTCTTGGGTACTTCCATGTTAGCAGGGTTTTAATCTTTTTTTTAAGCATTTCACCCCAAGCAAGGCGGGAAGCCACTAGGACGCAAGGGGTTACAGAAAATTTAGAGCAAGATCAGATAGGAGTGATAGAAGAAAAGATGAGGATAGTGGATAGATCAAGGCAACTGGAGATATCGATTGACATTACACTTGAATACTGGAGATTATAGCTCACAGGGAAACAGGGAATAGGGAAGGGAGTTCCACAGGCGAGAGGTGCGAGACATGAAGCTATTGGAGTAGAAGAGACAGCTACATTTAGGAGTTTCGACAGTGAAGGGGTGAGAGCGGAATGCCAGCCTCGTAGGGCGCTTGAACTCATGACGTCTGGGAACCAGCGAATGCAGCTCCTCGGGGCAATTTCCATGAAAGTATTTGTAAAACAGACAGAAGGAGGCGACGGCGCGTCTGTGAGAAAGTGACTGTAGACGAGATGCCAGAGCAGGGCCAACTACATTGCATATCCGCCTCTGGAGCCTATCAAGAACCCCGAGGCAAACAGAAGGGGCACCAGACCATATATGGCAGCAATACTCCATGCAAGGGCGAATTGTGGATTTGTAGAAATCAAACAAAATTCGATTTTATTGTTTTCTGAAATAAAATTTGATCAGTTTAAATGCATCTAAACATAAAAATAATGTTCAGCTCCACTAGACATTATAAAATACTCTTTAAATTTCGTTCATTTTAACAAAAAGTTAAAATTCGGGCAGAACTTATGGGATGACCTGATAAAAACCGATCATTTCACTTTTAGAATAAAATTTAAACTAAACACTCCTAATGCTATCTAACAACAAAAAACAGAACAAAAAAAAGTGGATACTACTTTTTTGCTATATATGAAACATTAGAATAAAAAAATAAAAACACACACGTGTACACATACATACGCAAATACATAGATAAATGCATATATACATTATGTCCATATCATGTTCAAACATTGGTTCTCGTATGATCACTGAAGTTAAGCAATGTCGAGCCTGGTCAATATCTAGATGGGTGACAGCTTAGGAATACCATACTGTAAGCTTGGATGTGCCAGTGGTGTCTTGGATAACGGTTTGGAATTGAAAATCGGAGAACCGAGTTCCAGTTCCTGTTAGGTTCATTATATTCACTTACGCGCAAATACCCTCGAGGAAGGCATGAATCCACCTCTTCTCCCTCCAGCTCTGGGTTAAACAGTAGAATTTCTATCAGTAAACTATTATTATCTCCCAAAAAAAATGTTCACAATCTAAAAATAATTTCCGGCTTTAAATAACCTGCAAAGGGTTGATAATTTTCAAAAGAGAAATCAATCATTCTAATATATATTTATATACATATATATGTGCGTGTGTACTAAGCGTAGCTTAGTTGTGGCACAAGGCCGAAAATAAGGAACACCCACTGAAGATCGAAGTCACTACTCAGCCGTAAATGACCTAACGAGACAAGATTGCAAACCATTACAGCACATCGAAATGCCTAGATAGATAGATAGATAGATAGATAGATAGATAGATAGATAGATAGATTATCTGAAAGCACTCTGAACGGATAATCATTTGGACAGTTCCTACACATACTATGTCCCCATAAGAAATCTCTTGTTTGCATCCAAGTAAAGCACAATAAGAAAAACCATAAGAGAATTTTCCTTGTCAGTCATGTTTAATGAAACATGTTTTAGAGATTGGTTGCTACCCAAGTACACGTACACAGCATAACAATTCTTGTCTTTTCTTAGTTTCATAATACCAAAGAGATTCTTATGCACTTCTTGTCCACATAACTTTCTTCCTGTCTAAGACAATCCTTTCATGTGTGAGAAATGACATTCCAGTGTCCTGTCCAATTTAGTCTTCCAATCTCTTAGTCTTCCACTTGTTATTTTGCCAGTAAAAACCTTTGATCTGAATTATAAAAACAGAACCGTTGCCATTTTGCTCGGTAATCGACTTTTACTCAAAAGCGCGCAAAATGAAACTGGCGCAGATGGTTTTATTAATTACAATTTGAATATTAATGTGGACTTTTGAATTAGAATTTCAAATCCACTGCCGGGACATTTATCTTGCAAATATTTCAATTAAAGACCGAGTGGTTTTCGATTTTACTTATCTTCATCGATTTCGATATTTATTTATATTGAAATTAAGAATTCACAGTTGAGCTGTCTAGATGTAACCGTAAGTTCTATGCTAACAGTTTCTTCTCTTGCACTTTTTGCTTGTGAAATTACCTTGCAGCTCCATGCTTTCCAGCCAAATTTAATCTGCAAAAAGTGTCAATCGCTAGCTACTGTCGTCCTGATTACTTTCTTCTCTTTCAGCCCATCATTAACGTTTCTGTTCCTAATTCTTCCACACCCTGTAACCCTTTGTGTCTTAGTGGCTTTACTGCCTTGTATTAAAAAAAGAAAAAAGTCAATTACATAGCCTACGTTTTTGCCTTAAATAAACCATGGAAAACATTTTTAATTCAAGTTCCGATTTAATTAAAATTTTCTTATTGTTGTCAAGTCTGGTTGTCTTACGTTGGCTATCGATCGCTCCTTCATGGATTCAAGTTCGTTTCCATTAAAACAATAGTCGGCTCCAACAGAAATGTTTTAATTTCGGTTCAACTCATTTAAAACATAAATTTTATTACTAACAATTCCTTATAGTATCAATGAAGTTTGATTAGGTTCAACATCGATTTCTCTTTAAACTTAACACTGAAATCAGATAACGAACATATACCTTACTAAGGTAGTTTAATATGATTTATTTATTTACTTTGAAAACTTTCTTTATTCGAATACTGATTTAATTTTAAAATTTCAAATGATTTGGCAGACTCGTTTCTTTTACATACAATTTCATTAGGGCTCAATTGAGCTTCAACTTTATAAATAATCTTCGATATAACCAGATGTAATTTGTATTTCTTCAAAATGAAATTCTTCTTGGCCGTACTGTACTTTGGTGTTGATTTCCACGTCGTTAACTTACCGTTGAAATCGATTTCCATTTAACCTAAAAATCAAACTCTAATACACTTATTTTTTCTAGTGATATACATAAAAAGAAAAAAGTAATGGTCGATTTTTAATGACTTTTGGAATCTTAAAATCTGTTTAGCAGAGAAATAATCTCTATTAGTTTTGACTGTTTTGATTCGTGGTTCTTGCAAAACATTTCCATAAATGTACCTCACCACCCCCACACACCCCGCCCGCCATAGCACTGTTGAATTTTTTGCTTTCTTGTTTGTGTCTTGTTAACTTTTAGAGCATTCCCTTGTGTCTCTTTTACCTAAAGCCAGAAAGAAAAACGGACACAGTATTTTTAGTTCGTCCACCAGCTTCTACATTCGAGAAGACTTATTAAAGAAAATGCGTCCACCTCTCCAGGAGAAATCACCGTTTAATCCGACGTGCTTTGACCGCTCGGCTACGATGAGTTTTACAGTCAAGCAAGGTTCTATTTGTCTTTAAATTTCACTTTACTTGTTCAAATTTTGTCTCTAAAAATATGGCGGATTAAAAATTTATACAGGGTAGGGGGCCTGCCAAAGTGAGTGTAGAGTAAGTATTATAGCAATATTATGATGAAGGATCGAGGATTTATTTAATAATAGAATTCATTTAATTCATTACAATCATTTTTAATATTTTTATTTTCATAACTTTTATTATAATACATTTATTATAATTTTTAATTGATTACTACTACTACTACAAGATGACACCATCAACAATTCCAGCCCTTGGATTGATTGAGAAAGATTCCTGATAGCCCAAGACTTAAAAAAATGCAAAAAATTGTACTCACAAGTACAACCCACATCTTACGAAGGGTTTTATCTGTTAAAATATTTGTGATCTTAGGTTGTTGCTTCTAGAGGTTTTTTTCTCGAAAAATGCTCAGTGGAAAATGTCAGGATGATATTTCTGACCTTCGGTCTCTGGTTGGGACCCGGAAAGAAATGAGTACACACCAGAAATCAAAAGAAATAAAATAGTAATAATAATGATAATAAATGTTTTGCAGGCAAAACGGTAATTTAAAGATGACTGGTAATTTTACGAACGAGGAGCGGCAGCGGATTTTGAAACACAACTGGAAGAAAATTGCTCTCTATTACTCACCAGAGAGAACCATCCTTGCCTCCCATTAGAATGTCTACCGCTCAACTCCACGAGAGCACCTCTTTGCGACTGCTCGGTCTCACATTGTCCGCTGACCTGAGATGGAACGAATACACTGAGTCAATAGCTTCGTCCACAGCAAGGAAAGTTGGCTCCCTGTGCCGTGCCAGGGAATTTTTCTCGCCGGAGTCGATCCTTCAAATCTACAAAACAACCATTCGCCCCTGCATGGAGTATTGCTGCCATATATGGTCTGGAGCCCCTTCTAATTGTCTCAAGGTCCTTGATAAAAATCCAAAGACGGATACGCAATGTAATTGGCCCTGATCTGGCATCTCGTCTGCAGACGCACTCTCACAGACGTGCCGTTGCCTCCCTCTGTCTTTTTTTTTTTTTACAAATACTTTCACGGTAACTGCTCCGATGAGCTGCTTTCGCTGGTTCCCAGACTTCATGAATTTAAGCGTTCAACTAGGCTGGCATCTCGCTCTCACCCTTTCACTGTCGAAACTGTTCAATGTAGCCGTCTCTTCTACTCCAATAGCTTCATGTCTCGCATTTCTCGCCTGTGGAACTCCCTCCCCATTTCTTGTTTTCCTGAAAGTTATAATCTCCGATTATTCAAATGTAATGTCAAACGACGTCTCCAGATGTCCTGATCCATCCCCTAACCGTCTCTTCATCCTTTCCTCTATCACTCCTCTTTGTTCTCGCTCCAACTATGTAACCACTTGCGTTCTAATGGCTTCCCGCCTTGCTTGGGGTAAATGCTTAAAAAAAAAAAATAAAAAAAACATTATTATTGATGTTTGTAAAATCAACAGAATACGTTTTGTGCGCACGTTTTGTGCGCACGTTTTGTTTTTCATTACTGCATGCCTACATTTGAGTCACCCTGTTTTAATAATAAATGGTGTCTGCCTGAAACTCAGAGTTGTATCACCGGATAGGAAAAAATAAATGAATGAACGGAGTAATCCACCGGAGGGGCCGTCTACGAAACTCTGGAGTCGGAATGCTGAAAGTAACATCAATCATTCAATCAGCTAGTAAAGTAACAAAACTTTTTAATCGTATTATATATATATATATATATATATAGTGGACTCACCCGTCATATTCGACGGGAAAATCAGCTCAGTTACTAGGAACCGGCATCCAGTCACCAGCACATATGATTTGATTATAGTGGTGAAGGCTTTCTGCAGAACCAGCCACACTTTTTGAAGGGCCGAATACAGAGACCTACTTGCCACAAGGTTCCAAAACAACCCTCCACAGATTTTGAATTCAGAGTTGTCCTTCTCCTAGACCAGTTGCCATCCAAGGCTATAGAACCCAGTCTGTCCTGCTATTTACCCATAGCTGGAGGGAGAAGAGGATTATATATATATATATATATATATATATATATATATATATATATATATATATACTTTTTGATTATACATTATTTCTATAGATACAATTTATTTAAGTAAATGCTCTGTTTTTTTAATTAAACTGTATTAATTACATTTACCGACCTAAATCTTCGAGATATTTCGTCCGACAGGAATCGACCCTGTAACCCTTATGGGAACCGTCGTATAGCCTAATGTGCTGTTCCCATTCGGACTTTGATAATCGGACGCTTCCCTGTGGCTGAATGGCAACAGCTCGTCAGGCGATATGACGGTTCCCATATTTTCTACGAAATTTCTCGAAGATTCAGGCCGGTAAATGTAATTAATACTGTTTAATTAAAAACAGAGCATTTACTTAAATAAATTATATCAATAAAAATAATGTATAATCAAAAAGTATATATATATATATATATATATATATATATGCAATGTTATATGCAATGTGATAGGTCCTGACCTGGCATCTTGACTGCAGTGACCTTCTCACAGACGTGATGTGGCTTCCCTCTGTCTTTTCTACAAATATTTTCATGCCAACTGCTCCGACGAGCTACTTTCGCTGGTTCCCAAACTACATGAATTTAAGGGTGCTACTAGGTTGGCATCTCGGTCCCACCCTTTCACTGTCGAAACAGTTAAATGTAGCCTCCTCTTCTACTCTAAAAACTTCTTCACTCGCACTTCCCGACAGTGGAACTCCCTTCCTCTTACTATCTTCTCTGATAGCTATAATCTTCAAATATTCAAATGTAATGTCAGTCGACATCTTCTGATGCATTGATCTTGATTCCCGTCCTTCTCTTTATCCTTTCCTCAAACATCACTTTCCTCAAACATTACTCTTACTCTCACTCTCTGTAGCCCCTTGCGTGCTAGTAGCACTCCCGTCTTGCTTGGGGTTGAAATGCTTAATATATATATATATATATATATATATATATATATATATATATATATATATAGTTGGATTGATGTGAGTTTGTGACCCTGGGTTTCACACTATTTGCGATCCTTTGTCTGACGAAAGGCCGTGAAACCCAGGTCACAAATCACATCAATGCAACTAAATAAGTTAACTCTATCACTGATATTAAGCTCTTTCCAATAATTACCGCGCATATATAATATGTAAGTAATATATATAATAAATTGATTATATATATATATATATATATATATATATATATATATATATATATATATATATATACCTGGCTTATGTCAGAGGGTATCCCCCAGACGAGGCTCTGCTGACTCCGTTTTTACGTGGCCTATAGGAGTTTTTGCCTGAGCCCACGGGCTCGGATACCCCACTTTAAACTCGGCCTTGTGCCACATCTTTCTGCGTGGGGCAGCGAGTAAATAATTATATTTATATTTATATACATACACATTTCACATATATAATATATATATATATGTGTGTGTGTGTGTGTGTGATTATCACCCATTTGTATTTCAGGACAAAAACTTTACTAAATCTATTCCCAGATAGTCGTGAATCTAGCTTTCTCCATCCTCTCATTATATGATTGACTCTATCGAGAGTCAATTTTAGTCTAGAGAAAACCAATCTAGAGTCGAAACGCGTTACTTACGGGTGTGTCCATTTGTCATTCGCTTAGCCCTAAAAAAAACCGCTTCTGCTTGTGTGAGTGCATTCCAAAGACGCCATCGAGCATTGGCTTGTCGTCACTCAATGAACTGATGATGATTTTGTTTTGTTGTTTTTTCGACACTCCTCATGTCCTGAAAGAAGCAAATTACCAAAAGATTTCTTAATGTCCACAAAGATAACGCGTCATGACCAACCATTCCTTCAGGGGAAAATCTTCATGTCCTTTCCTCTTCACTCTTCCTTACCCTTGACATCAACATCTTCCTCCGTTCTCATGACAACTTCGACGCCTTCTGTCTCAGCACAATACACGCCCTACACATGACAGTCGAAATTTTCTTCACGGAGGCAAGACAAATATCAGATTTTCTAAATGAAGATTAATTACTCAGCCTGATGTCTTGAACTTGTGTTTCAACCGGTGAACTTTCTGATCTTCCGCAGGTGTATGTCGTATCCGGTTATCTTCATTTTTTGTTTGTTTGTTTTCTTCAATCGTTTCCTCCTCGCTTCTCGTCGAGATAAAAAAAAATTAAATTAAATTATCGGATTCATCAAACACCTAATGAACGTAGGAAAGAGGGTCGGCTGAAACGTTATGACCGAAACAACATCGATGACGAAAGTAGTTTGAATAATATTAAAAAGAATATTTCAGCTCAGGCAAGAACACGTATGATGAGAATAATAGAAAGAAATGTGAAAGGCGCGTTAATCGCTGACCTTGACCAAATTTGGCACAGGTCCGTGATTATGGATGGCGTAGGCAGTGGGATTGGAAATCACGAACAAGGATTTGTTAGAGCAACTCGTAGATAGATAGATAGATAGATAGATAGATAGATAGATAGATAGATATGATATATATATATATATATATATATATATATATATATATATATATATATATATATATTCATTACATTCACTTACGTACTAATACCCTTGGGAATGTTGTGAATCCTCTTCTTCTCCATCCAGGTATGGGTAAATAGCAGGACAGACTGGGTTCTATAGCCTTGGATGGCAACTGGATTATGGATGGAGTAGGCAGTGGGATTGGAAATCACGGACAAGGATTTGTTAGTGCAACTCGTAGATAGATAGATAGATAGATAGATAGATAGATAGATAGATAGCTATGAACATATAATATATATATATATATATATATATATATATATATATATCCATTACATTCACTTACGTGCTAATACCCTTGGGAAAGGTGTGAATCCTCTTCTTCTCCCTCCAGCTATGGGTAAATAGCAGGACAGACTGAGTTCTATAGCCTTGGATGGCAACTGGATTATGGATGGAGTAGGCAGTGGGATTGGAAATCACGGACAAGGATTTGTTAGTGCAACTCGTAGATAGATAGATAGATAGATAGATAGCTATGAACATATATATATATATATATATATCCATTACATTCACTTACGTGCTAATACCCTTGGGAAAGGTGTGAATCCTCTTCTTCTCCCTCCAGCTATGGGTAAATAGCAGGACAGACTGGGTTCTATAGCCTTGGATGGCAACTGGTCTAGAAGAAGGAAAAACTGAATTCAAAACCTGCGGAGGGTCATTTGGGGACCTTGTGGCACGTAGTGCACCAGGTCTCTGAATTCGGCCCTTCAAAAAGTGTGGATGGTCCTGCACGAAACCTTCACCACTATAATCAAATCTCATGTGCTATACATGCGTGTTGGGGACCGCTTGTGAATTCCAAATTCCCATGAAACTCCAATATTGGAGCCAGCTCAACCGACCTCGGGTGAATGCTGTTACAAGAACAAGATATATATATATATATATATATATATATATATATATATATATATATATATATATATATATATATATACAGGTGTCCATAAAGTTCGTGTGCACTTTGAAAAACATATAACTTTATTTATATTTGCGATAGAAATAATCTGTAAAAAATGTTATAAAGTTTAATGTATCTAGTTTTAAGTAGAGCTAAAATAACTAATGTGATTTCAGGCATTACTGTAAATCAGTTGGCAAATATTTTCCGTGAAGTGCAAAATCGTATTACTCTTTGTATTGCTAATGATGGTAGACATGTGGAAACTTAAATAAAATTTCAATAAAACCTTAAAAAAAATATAGATTTACTTCTTTCTAATCCTTTTTACAAATTATTTCTATCGCAAATACAAATAAAGTTATAAATTTTTAAAGTGCATATGAACTTTATGTACACCCTGTATATATATATATATATATATATATATATATATATATATATATATATATATATATATATATATATAATTATTTATTTAAAAATATGATTCCTCCGCTACATAAGAGTTCTCATGTTTCAAAAACAAGAGCTGAAAACTTCGATACAATTATTAGAATTGAATTGAATTAAAATGCCAAGCTCTCTTTTATCTTCAAGCGAAATTTTTGGAATAAGTAATCTTGAAATTTACGCGTCTTTATAAGCATATTCATTATTAAAATTAAATTACTATGGAAAGGGCTAGAACAATTGTTTAAATAAGGGGCGTAGAGAGAGAGAGGGAGGGAGAGAGAGATGGGTCTGAAAAGTTCTTGGCTCATTCAACATGCTTAAATGTGACCAAACGACACAGTGTTAGAATTTTTGGCGGGGGAACCCTTCTTGGTTGAACCAAGCGCCTTGTATCCGGGTGACGGGCCATTCCTCGCTAGTGATTAAGTGATTATTCCCCACCGGCACCTGGGTCAAGTCTTCGAGCCGGGGTTAAAAATAAATCAATAAAAATAAATGTTCTTCAAATACCGATTTTCAAATTTCTCTACATTACATCTCGACTCGACAAAATATTCTTCTGTGTGTGTGTTTGTGTGTGTGTGCGCGCGTCTGTGCGTGTGCGCGCATGTCTGTGTGTGTATGCTTGATGTGTGCAAAAGTTTCCAGCGAATTTTCTTCTAGAAAATAAAAAAATAAAATAAACGATTACCCACTTTGATTTGTTGTAATATTCTAAGGAGAGGACGCTGCTAATTTGATACCCATTTACACAAACCCACGTATATATATATATATATATATATATATATATATATATATATATATATATATATATATATATGAGTGAAAATGAAAGGTTCTCAACCCGATCCACTTCTTTAAATCTAACTAAATGACCAAGCAATGTTTATATACACACACAAAAGAAAGAAAGAAAGAAAGAAAGAAAGAAAGAAAGAAAGAAAGAAATTTTAAGCTTGACCTTGAAAATTTCTACTCGGGACTGTGTCAATAGCCGTAAATTGACGGTCTGAATAGTTGAAACTGAAAAGCAACTGAAATTAAGATGAAAGAAATACAAGTAAACAATGAATAAAGAAAATTGTCATTATTATTATTATCATTATCATTATTATTATTACCATTATTATTATTATTATTGTTGTTGTTGTTTCTGATTTTAAATATTAACATCAGAAGTGTTTGGGGAGGGGATGGCTACTTGGGATCAAGTGACAGTAATTCCTCCCCCCCCACCTCCAGTTTCCACCTTTTTCCTCCACACATTTGCAGTCTGGATGGTCAAAGTTATTCTTCACCTCTCGAGTTTCTTTAATAAAGAATTGACCGTTTGACAGTCAATTCCCAGTATTCTTATTACTGTAGGTACGACGCCCACTCTTAACTTACATAGCTCCTCCATTATTAATTAAAAAATATATATATACATAAAATTAGCGTCTGTAAAATGTTTTCGACATTATTATTATTATTATTATTATTACTACTACTACTACTACTACTACTACTACTGCTACTACTATTATTATTATTATTATTATTATTATTATTATTTGTGTATGTTTCTTGCTTTTTATCCTGTAAAGCCAGGTCCAAATTAAGGTCCTTGGGCCCTAAAGGAGAATTGTCATTTAACTGATAGCCTTTTTTCTTATGGTATGTTCCTGGTAGGGCGATCTTCTGGACAATATGTATGTTGATGTTACCTGGGACACTATTAGTAAAATTGTCCATTCCTTTTCTGACGAGGCCCAGAGCTCCGATTACTATTGATACAGTCTCAGTCTTCATTCCCCATATCCTGTTCATCTCGATCTCCAAGTCCTTGTATTTGGACAATTTCTCGATAATTCTCATGGAGGTATTTCTCTCAGATGGTACTATGTGCAATGTTAATAAGCATACACTTCCTCAATTTCTTCTCTTTTATTATTATTATTATTATTATTATTATTATTATTATTATTATTATCCGTAATAGTAGTAGTTTTAACTCCTTTGTGATCATCATCCCATTGAAAGGAAGCGCTACCTTCATCCATAAAAAAACACTAGCATTGTAATCAATAATTGCTCTGTTAATATCTGTTACAGTTAATACTAGTCTTCCTTCCTTCACCCATCAATTTTTTATTTTTTTCAAAACTTCATTTATTTATCTGAATTTTAATGTTACTTACTCTGTTAAAAGAGCACAAGGTGTGTTCCTGTTTGTTTACTTCTTTTCCCTTTTTTATTTTTTGACTTTTTTTCTTTCTCTTCTCCCTACTTATTTTCTCCTTCTTCTTCTTCTTCTTCTTCTTCAGAAAGAAAGAAAGGAAGGAAGAAAGAAAGAAAGAAAACAAATTTCCCCGCTGCTTTCGTCACAAGCAAATCCCCGACCTCCTCACTAACGAAAAATAAGCGAGATTCCCGTCTTAGGAACTTATAAAGCCGGCGCACCGACTGGTTGGCTCAACTGGTTGAAGTTCATTGAGCTGCTTAGCTGTGTTGTCGTCTTCTCTTGGGCCCCTCGCTATCACTCAACCATGCATTTATTTTGGTATTATTCAACGTTTCTACTTATATTTTTACCCAAACGCTGGCCTCTGTTTTCTGAGGCCAGGGAACTTGTTAATGGTAAGTTATTTCTTTTTATTTGATTTTTATTGTTTTTTCGTTGCTAAGCTAGTTGCTTTCCCTACTGGGAAGAAAATCGTATTACAACATCTGAAACTGAAAATTTATATAGTCGCATTTATTTACTATAAAACACAACTAATGAAAGCTTGTTTTTCTTTGAGAAAAATATTTTTGTTTTTAAACAGTCTCTTTAAGAATTATCGTGAATGCAACTTTGAATAACCCTTTGCCTCAATGCAGTCAGTCTATTTCTGTGGGTTCTACATAAACCGGTTTTCTATCTGCTTCTTTGATGAGTGAATAAGGCTAGCTAAACATTCGCAGTTAAAGAAATCTAATTACTATTTTAAAAACACTTCTTTTATTATGAGTTGTGTAAAAAAAGATTCTCTTCCGTTTTCTGTCGTTGTTAACCACAAGGGTTTTCTCTGCAATTTCGCCGACCGGTAATGACATGTGAAGAGATGTTTTCTTTTTCAACAATTTTGTTTGGGATGTACTCTTATTCAGTAACTTTACGTAATGAAGCAGGTTAAACGCTCTGATTAATCAGTAGGTGCTCTACTAAACTGGCCCTGTGTCAAACGAAAATATATTTTTTTTTAGTAAAATAAATCATGTTGCTGATTTTTCGCAGACCATTTGACAGTTTTGAGTTCGTTTTTTATGACTGTCCATTATTTTCAAAATTTGCGAAATTGTCTGAAGACGCCCTCATCGAAAGACATGTCTTATAGAGCAGTGAGTTTGTCCCGCACTGGGTTCTCTGGGAATATGGCGTTATGCAACCACTATCTAACTTTTACTTGGGAAAAACATTTAGTCAGGAGAATTTTAAATTATAGCACATCGAGGCAGTCATGGGTATTTTTCTAAATGCCCCAACATCCAAATGATCGTGATTCTACTGTGACAGGTGTTACTGTTAAAATCTTTAGTGACATTAGGTCGAATAAGTGTCCTTTTCTCACATCAACAGATAAAATTAAAATCCAGAAAGATATTGTCTTAACAGTCTCCCTAGCGGGATTCTTTTTTTAATAATGAAGTCAAGAAGATTGTGTTGCGCCAATCGCCCAAGTGAAAAGTTGTTGCCTACCTTGAAAATCAGTATCAAAACACCTGGGCTCAAACACGAACCTCTGTCAAACTATACACAACAGCCTCAGCTACCAGATAGACTTGCTGTCACTTGTTCTCAAGACTCGAACCCGTACCACGAGTTGCTTGTCTGAATTTTTTTTTTATTTATATGAAGAGTTATCATTATTTACATTCAGACTGACATCATCAACTTTGTTGTTGTTGTTGTCACAACGTTTCGGTTGTTATCCTCTCCGGCCTTCTTCGGTGTCTGTTAATCCGGGAAAACGCCAGGGAATTTCAAACTGATCCTTTTACGTGTAGAATGTAGTCCACACGCTGTCTATACCTAGGGATAACTCACCTAGTTTGCTTGTTTTTTTTTAAGAACTGATCGCTTATGTAAATAATGTAAATAGACAAAAGAGAATAAATAAAAATCCCTAACGTAAACCATTTCTTGTGAAAATATATTTGGAGATTTTCTTTTCTTTTTGGAAATATTTCTAATTGAATATTTCCATTTATTCGCCAAAGAAATTCCGATGTAAATGTTTGATATTAAGTCTCTGAACAAAATCAAGGTAAATTTCGTCTTAATTAGCAGCAAGTGGATAGCTTTGATTTTAGGTGAGGAAAAACATTCAAGGTTCATTTTTTAAAAAAAGTAGGGTCTGGATGTGAATATATATATATATTAAAGATAGATAGATATAAAGCTAGATATGAATATAGAAATAAATATAGATGGATAGATAGATATAAATATAAAATAAATATATACAGATTAATATATATATATGGATGGATATAATAATATAAATATATATATAGAGAGAGAGATCGATACAAATAAATATATATATATGTATGTGTGTGTATGACTAGACAAAAATAGATAAATGGAGAAAGAGAGAGAGTGCAATCTGACTAGCTGATCAGATTCAAGCTATATAAGAAGCATTATAAGAAAGAATATATAGCGTCTTCGTGTCGGAAATAGTTTTTCTGTGGTCACTGTTCATGCCTAGGTAAAAAAAACAAAAAACAAATAGGTTATTAAATACTGATTTTGAAGGCAAGCACAGTCTTCTCCTCCTATTTTGGGTTTTGGTCCAGATTAAGTTTAGCAGACCCGCGCCACACCCACCACGTCAGGATTTGGGGTCACCAGCACCGCAGAATCTGCAGACCACGTTCGAATTTCTTATGCAACTCTTTCTGTTCATTTCACACTAAAGGGAAGGCATGAATTGACTTATCCCTGAGGTTTTTAATCTCCACAGATCTTGTAACAAAAAAAAAACCCGGCTAGTTGATAGTATGCTGTGATGGACGACGGAAAGGAATGGTTGAATGAACACAAGAACACGAGACGTGTGTGTGTGTGTGTGTGTGACCGACCGTCCGTCCGACCGACCTGAAGCGTTCTTCAGAATGTTCGTTTCATTGGGGAACACTTCAGACACTCATTTTTCTACGCTATAGAGATCTATCTAAGTATCCCAAAAACTCTGTCGCATGCATTTATATCTGTGCATGAGAGAGAGATACACACATATTCGTGTGGTGGGGGGGATATACAGAATATCCCAAAATTACAACAGAATTTAAAAATTGAACATTTACGTTCGAAAATTTTCTTTGATTTTTCTAAATAGAATTTGCATAATAGATTTTTTTTTTCAAAATTTAAAAAATAAATTAACACAAAATATAAACATGTAAATCCCTTTCATACACCCCAACCCCCCACACACACACACACGTATCGTATAATGTAATTTTTACACTTATACTATACATGTAACAATTTATGTTTACAAAAGGCATGTGCCTAAAATCTCTGATGTAATGAATGACTGAAACCGGACTATTGGCAAAATCGAACAAAATGGACATAGATGTTGCTTTTAAAAGTCATAAGAATGAAGGTCTAGAGAGGAGTTGGGTGCTGCTAACCTATAGACGTAAAGTCGTACATGGATTATCTATTTTATATGCATAACCTTTTGGAAAGCTAGTACAAAACCCAAGAGCCACTCAAGGAAGAGGGTTACTGTGTGATGTTGTATTAACGTAACTCTCCCGATACTCTGGCATAAGTGATCTGTGTTCAAACCTTGGTAAGCAGCCAAAATTTTAAATGCTGATTTTTTTTCAGAGCAGCAGGCAGATTGAATTATTGGCGTAATACAGTCTTCCTCTCTGTTTAGCCCTGTGTTGGACTTATTTTTAATATCGACAATGCGCCCACAAGGTTCAAAGAAGTGTATGTCTCGAGGTCTTTGACAAAATCCAGAGACTAATATGCGAGATGACATAACATCTAGTCTACAATCGCTTTTCCACAAACGTTCTGTGGCTTCCCTCTGTCTCTTCTACAAATATTTTCACGGCAACTGTTCCAACAAGCTACTTTTGCTGGTTCCCGGACTACATGAATTTAAACGAGCTACCAGGCTGGCATCTCGGTCCCACCCTTTTACTGTCAAAACGGTTAAATATAACCGTCTCTTCTACTCAAACAGCTTCTTCTCCCGCGCTTCCCGTCTGTGGAACTCCCTTCCCCTTACTTGCTTCCCCGATGACTATAATCTTCAAATATTCAAGTGTAATGTCAATCGACATCTGACAGCCTGAGCTTGTTCCCCGTCCTTCTCTGAATCCTTTCCTCAAACACGCCTCTTTACTCTTGTTCTCAATCCTCTTTAACCCCTTGAGTGCTAGTGGCACTCCCGCCTTGCTTGGGGTGAATTGCCTTAATAAAAAATATTCTCTATAGTTACTTCATCACATATTTTGTCTACGATTATTGTTTGTAAACAACGACGAAGGCTTTGCGTACAATCAAACCTGCTTTGTATTTAATGCAGACAGAAACAGATAAGATTTGGCGGGTAACAGTGTTTATCGGTGCAGAAATTCGTATCGGTGAACCAGCTTTTAATTCCAACCTAGTCAATTGCGTTCACTTCCCACGATTGTCCTTGGGGGGAAAAACACGAATCCATTTGTTCTCCCGCCATTTCCATTATGGGGAAAATAGTAGGGCAGACTGGCCTCTCTAGTGTTTAATAGAACGTATCTAGGAAAAGGACAACTTTGGCTCAAAACCCGAAAGACTTTTTTTTTTATTTTCCTCAAAAGGCCGCGGCATATAACAAAGAAAAAGAAACTGTGGAGAGCTCGAGGGAGATGGCATTAAAAATAGAAAAAAGCAACTGTTGGCCACGGGTGGGGGTTCACTGGGTTGCGTTGGGTGTTCATTTTTAAATATATATATATATATATATATATATATATATATATATATATATATATATTCCAGACGAGTATAATTACTTATATTTATAAGATTATTATTATTATTATTATTTTATATATATATAATGTGTGTGTGTGTGTATTTAGGCAGCAATTTTTCATTGATGCATGTTTTCACTCTCGCGTGGTCATGTGCGACGTCACGAGCTGCGTAGCAATATTCGCTTCCGCGTCTCGTATACACGAGTTTGTCGTTGCTTTGAAATTTTTCATGTAACAAAAAAATACTATCATTATTGTTTTGTCCGTGTATTGTTCGATATTTTGAAATGTAACTGTCATCTTTGATAATGGCTTATGTAAGCCGAAAGCTTAGATAGGATTAAAAAACATGTATCAATATGGTGATTTTCTTTCATCTTTCAATGATAATGTTAAGCTTATCAGACAATATGAAAGGAACTTACTTAAAATAAATAGACAAAACTTGTCTATATTATTTAATAAAACATGCATCAATATATATATATATATATATATATATATATATAATAAATTCACTCCCAAGCAAGGTGATAATGCCACTAAGGTGCAGGCGGCTACTGAGAGTGAAAGATAATGAAAACTTTTAGAAGGAACCCGAAATC